ATCAAACATGCTAGCTGAATCCATTTACTTCGTAGCTTCCATGGCCTATCATCAGTAACATGATCCTTGTTCCACAGCATAGTAAAATGAGCGTGAATGGATCTTTTTAAAACGCTATTTGTCGTTCCTTCTCGTTCGGTATCTTGCCAATCTTACTGGTTTAAGGTGTTAACAGATTGATTGCAATGGCTTACTTGATTAATTTTATCGACACAACAAGAAGCACTAACTTGAGCAACTTATTTTCCCCGTGAAACCCGTCGTTGCGAAAAAGTCGACTTTCATGTTGCGTTGTGACTTTTTGCCATGGCAATTTGAAAAAAGTGAGCAACCCTATCCATCTTATTTCACATCAGCAAGCAGCTGCCATCCAGTAGTAAGGGGTTTGAGCATCGCAAGAAGGCGAATGAGGCACCACAGGGAGTTCTCATGGCATTAAAGGGGAGTAGGAGCAGAATAGGTCAGAGAAACAGAAAATGGGGAATGCTCGCCACTAGATCCCTCTAACATTACATACATTTCCTCTTTCGACGTTGTTTTCTACGGGCATCATTCAAACGAGGTTGACTCAGAGGTGATTTGCTTGCCTGATGCATCCTACCTAACATTAGCTTACTTACATGGGTACATGGGTACCCGAATTTCAACCGCAGTAACATGTTTTCTTTCCATAGTCTTCCACTAAAAATTCAAATCTTCCTCTTCACAAAACCTGATCGGATGTGGCCCGCCGTTCGGATAGAGCACCGCGGGTGTGGTGTCTACTCCTCAAATGTCGCGTCGCGCTCGCCGCAACCGCCGCGTATCGCGGAAATGCGATGGAGCGCACAATCCTTGGGTTAGAGAGCCCTTCAATTATTCACGATTACTGACCACTTCCTTCTTTTTCCATGCGGTCTCGATCGTTGATTACGGGGAGGGAACACACATGCGTCCGAGGATGCGCGCGGCAAATTGCGCGGCGAAATTCATGCTCATTTTGACGACTTTAGCGCCTATCATTGAGCTCATATCCGAAGTAGAGTAGATTAGTAGGACCAGCTGATCCCACTAATCATATTCATTTTAAACCTATGGCCCAATGATAGGAGCCAAAAACGTCAAAATGCAATGAAATTCGCCGGCCAATATGCCGCGCGCATCCTGCAACGCTCTATGTACCCATACCCGTAATAGGGCAAGGAAGGCGCCGAAAGGAATGTTTGGACGAAATTTCAGCCATGTGCTAGTGCACAAAGAGTTGACTACGGTATACCTGCTGCGAAAAATTGATTTCCGCGCCATGGGACAAGGCCCCAGATAATCGTCCATCTAAATTTTCAGAATCTGAATCTTCTTCAAAACAAATGATACTTTTCGAAACACGACACAGATGGTTGGCAGGGCATTCAAAGTCGATGTGTTGCTGTTCATCTTGAAAATAATGACTCACTGAAGGTTCAGCTGGAGATGATTAACCCATTGCGTACAGTAGTGCTTTCGCGCTGGGTGGCGCATGTGCCCGGCATTTTCTTCAGAATCGACGCACCGACGTGACTCGCGGCGTACGGCACGCGGCCACTTAGAGCGTTTTTCTGACGAAATTGCAAGGTAGTGCTGTTCGAACTTTATTCAAACTCTAGAGTGATTCTGGACCAAAACGCGGTCACGCAGAGACGAAGGGGCGTACTGCACCATGTGCAGCCCGCGGTAAGGAATGAGTCGAATGTTTTTGCTCACGCCACATTCCTTGTGGGCGAAGTATAGTCCTGTCACTTACCATCAGTGTTCCCATTTTGTCTCCTGTACTCCTACCAAATTTTAGCGCTCTAGGTCCACTTTGATTTTTTTCGCGCAAGCTCCGCCTTCAGTGGGAGGAGTCTTCTCTTGCCACCTGAAACATAGCTCCTATTCTGTTGCCTGCGCTCTTATTATTTCGTTCATAATTTTTTTCTTAGGGCAGCAAATAGCGCGAAATTTTGATATGTTTACCTAGAGCATATTTCACACCATCCAACCCTGTTTGACGGCAAAGCATCAATATCCACATAACTGAGAGCAGGGTCTTTTTTGCGGTAGCAGACTTCGCTTAAACGCCTGCAGTTATTTGCACCTTATGTGCGTTATTGTTCTCTACAGTGTTCGGCATTAACACTTGTACACTTAAGACATGGCAAAAAAGGAAGAAGTCCAAGAAGGACCGATGTCTGTATTTCCAGCTGATTACGAGTTCATGCTCTTTGGAATATCTGGAACACGATCAGATTGCAGGTTAATGGTGGTAAATATTCACAACACCCATGCTACATATATTAAATTTTCGCATGATTAGATCCAGTTGGAAAGAGGTTACGTCTGAAAAGTACAGCTGTAGAGCTACTGTAGATACACACATACACACGCATACAGACAAACCAACAGGCACTTAGCGCGTTTTATATAGTAGGACTGTTAATGCTATAGCCTTTACAAGACTGTTAGAACATTGAGTGCTATCCAGGGGAGGCGTTTTATGAGCCTTTCTTTCGCTCTTTCTTGGCCTTCTTTCGGCTCAGCAACGCTCCTCCTGCCATCCTTCCTTTGAAATCAGAGATGCGCTCATTTATGGAATCTCGGAAACTATTTTTCTTGTGAACTGTGCCTTTAAAGCACAATTCACGATAATTTTAAGGTATCTATTTTGAATGAAATAACCAGAAGCCATGGTGCAGAATAGCGCAAGGGTGGCAAGGGAAATTCCAAAATTTATGGATTTTAAAAAACATAACATTCTGTAAAAATTAGAAAGGAGGGGTTGTACGAGAT